CACGCTAGTAACTTAAAAGAAATGTTTAACATATTTAGGTTGATAAATAAATACAATGTACCAGTATGAAATGAATATGTGTTTTTGCTTTTAATGAACATGATCAGTATTTATATCTCTTGTAATTACTCACACTTAAGATGAAATGTTTAACCCCCTGAAGCAGGAGTATTGTTGTCACACATATCACGGGACCATATATACAGTTACAGAAACTTGTGAGATTTTCCTAGTGGCCCAAGTGGTGATGTATCTGTAAAAAAACAAACACTTTTGGTGGTCACTAACTGCTATTTTTTTCTCCAAAATATCAGTGGCCCAAAGACAAAAGTGGTGGCCATCTGCCACTGGTAGTTTCTATCACTGTATATATGGTGCCATGCATATGGCAGTCTAAGGGTTAAGGTGATTTACAAGTTTGAATTCATTAAATATCTATAGGTTGGTATTTAAACATAAAACAGCAATGATAACAAAAATCAAGTGAGGTGAACATTCAGTTTAATGATTTAAACATCAATTCAATGAGAATATGTAATTATAAATTATCATTCTTGTTGGTGAAATATCACATTGCAAAATCACATACATCTCATAAGCTTAAGCAGCCTACTAGATGTCTGAAACATACATGACTACTCAGTCTTTGTCCTTGATAAGTTCTGGTCTGAGGTTACACAGGACTGCACACACTTTGACTATCTTATCCAACTTTTGAACATAATTAAGAGGTAGAACCTGATTCCATATTCTGTAAGACTTTAACCTGGCAATTGCTCTTTCTACATGTATTCTTACAGATGCAATTCTTCGTGTTTCTATACACTCTGTAGCACTCAGTTGTTTACGACCCTTCATAAAAGCAGGAATGTTCAGTTTCACTCTTCTAGCATAAAGTTCATTGCTTATTGTAAAGCCTCTATCTGCTATTACCTCATCACCAGGTAACAAGTCGTTTAGAGAACCTGATTCTTGGTGATATACACATCACTTGCACGACCCCCATAGCATCTTGAAACATACATAATATTCCCATTGGGAGCAATCGCAACAAGAATTTTGGCAGTATTGTGACTTTTATATGCACTGTAGGTTTGAGCTCTAACCTTCAATGAAAATGGACGTTGCAAGAACATTTCTGTACAGTCAATAATGCAGGTAGTGTGTGGATAGGTAGTCTTAAAGGACATTGGCATTGCAGATCTAATAACATCACTTGGGAGGCAAACAATGCAATCCTTTAGCTTTCTGGCTAAAATTGAGATACAAATTCCAAAAATTTTACTTGTAAATTGCGTGGAAAATTGAAAATCTTCTCCCGAGATCATGAAACTGAATTCCCAGCTTAAGTCTCATAACGGAGTGGCATCTTAATGTTTGACCGCAGTACAGCTGTAAGATAAGTTATTATTGACAGAAACACTTGTAGAGTAAGACCAGTGTAAAACACAGAATCAGTGTCAGTCTTAATACTGTTTGCAGAAAAGGCAGGAAAATTAATCTGAACAGAGATATTCTTTGTTTTGGTCCTGTAGTGCTGGGTTGCATAATGGTGATCTACTGGCTTGTTAAAATGAGCCTGCGCTCCTACAGTTCTGTTTGGAACTTGGTCTGGAGTCATCATTCTCCTTTCCCTTCTCTTCAGCTTGAGATACAGGTTAATCTGTCAGTTCAGCTTCAACATGTCACTCCTCAGTCAGTTGATTGATCCTTGGGGTCCGAGAAACATCAGAAAGAGGGTGTCGGAAAATGGTCCTTCTCCCTTGTGTCAACTGGAGAGAGGAAAGTTAAAGTATAACAGGCTATTATACATTTACATCAATGAACAGTAAAAAATAGTTAATAACATAATTGTCAAAAAAACTTTACGTTTAATACATCACTAGTAGGACTATATTGTACATTACATTAAACTAAAAGTACACTAACCTTTCTTTGATATCCCAAATTTGAGACTGGATCAGGATTTTGTTTGCTTGGATGGCCATCCAAAAAATGAATTGAGCATATCTGAAAAAAAGTTATAAACATAAAATAATTACATTTCTATTTAGCCAATGTCACTCCAGTAACTACAATGGGTTATCACATTTTCTAAGATGCCTAGCGGTTAGAACACTCGAAAAAAACAAACATTATCAGACAATAAAGGTATAGTTTTTTGATGACGTAACAATTGAATGACGTTATCTCGTCACTGTGCCATTCTAGTGTGCCCCCTCGTAATCGAACCATTTTACATTACGTCACAATGTATGCGACGTCACGATGCATGTCAGTTGTCATCGCCTCGTACGGCCTCCTACAGTAAACTACTCCGTTGCATCCCGTTTCTTGGTTTGCAGTTGCTTCACGCAGCTAACATCACAGGTGGAAACATTACGTTTATGTTTTACGACGGTTAAAATGTGTCAATTCGACTCACAAGTTTTAAGCGACACGGTAACGTTCGCAATGTTTACATTCCCACAATGCAATCGTGGAATGTCGCTTGACTACTCAGCTTCATCTGAATGTACTGATCTAAACTTACGTTGGTGGTAGAAATGCGACGTTCATATTGCTACATATGGTTTACGTTAATGACAGATGTAATTAAAATAATTTAGAGAAGATATTTAATCCGAACGTAAACCGTCATCAAACTGTTATCATTTTTTTTTCTGGTAACTTTCGTCTTAACGTAGGGGGCAGACACATCAATAGAACAGCGCGCCAGTTAGCCCTGTGCGAGGATTCTTAATTTAGGTCACCGACACCGTCGTTTATTTTCTGCCTTAGATTAATCGTAATTATCCTTAGAAAGTATTAAATTTATTACACTATACATGGTGGTAGAGCGAACTGTATTTCCTTAATTCAACAATTGTTTTCACTCCTGTTAAACACTATAGCCTTTATGTTTATGTAAATAAAGAAATTCTTTACATCCGTGTACTATGAGTACAAGTGGTGTTCCGATTAATTTAAATAATCGAAGATTGGTCGCAATGACCAAACGACCAAGCAATCGATCACATTTTCTCATAATCGAACATAAACGATTTTGGAACTACTGTTTTAGTCTTTGATATACTTGACAATGGAACATATCGTTGAAGTTGTCAGGGCCTGAAAACGTGTTTAATTCTTAGAAAACTCACTTCACTAACTGAACAACCATGACTGAATATTTCTTGAAGACTCCGGGAAGTTTATGTTGATGATATATTACTCATCACTTTAAAGTAGCAAGTTGCATCATGTTATACATATCTGCAATAACAACCTGGATAGGAAAATCTGAAAAAAGACGATAACCAATTTTTGTCGATGATTGTTCGTTGGTAATGAAGCAATCATCAATTGTGAGATTTGAACCAATTCCAACACTAATGTGTACGCTAACGATACACGGAGGGTAAAGTAATTAAGTAATAATAAATTACATAATAAATTAATCCAGTAATGTTATTATTAACTAATTTTAAGTAAAGATATATTGAGTAAATAATGATAAATAGACTGTTTCCTCTCAATATTTTCTACAATACAAATGTCTCTAGAATAATTATTTGTAGCACATAAGCTTTTAAAATGTTGGAATAGTTTACTAGTAAAAATTGTCGTTCAACCCTTTGTTGCATAGCTTTACCCTACAGTGCATTCGTACCTCCTATATTGTAACATATGCTCTAGGTATTGTAGGCCCTACATGAATAACAAACTATCTAACGTTTCATTATCTCTAGTTATCCGATGGAATTAACTATTGTGCCACTAATTATCTTGATAAATACATACCACACTGCTATCAGATGGGTGAAAATCCTTCCGATTAACACGTGACACCAAAAAACGACGACGATCTTCATTCACAGGAAACCTTTGGAGATGATAGGGAAACAAACAAGGGCAGTCCTTCCGTGGCAGTTTATGGACTGTACAGGGCAATTCTTTCCATATACGTAGATTTCTCTTTCTCTTTCATAGCACAAATTCTCCCTGATCCACGTTCATAAGGCCTACATCTGTCCCGAGACATATTTTCGCCAAAAAAACAGCAAGTTCCCAGACGTAAAAGGTCAATGTCAATTTGCAGCCGCTTAATGGCGGACGACACTAGCGTCACCACAAAGGGGGATAACTGAGAGCGGCACGAAGCACTGCTCCGTGGAAAGGTCTATAGATAGTGTTGTATATGTAGAGATAGTTATGTTTGTAGAGAGTGTTATGTACGTATAGATAGTGTTGTATATGTAGAGACTGTTATGTACGTATACATAGTGTTGTATATGTAAAGAGTGTTTTATATGTAGAGAGTGTTATGTATGTAGATAGTGGTGTATATGTAGAGAGTGTTATGTACGTATAAATAGTGTTGTATATGTAGAGAGTGTTATGTATGTGTAGATAGTGTTGTATATGTAGAGACTGTTATGTACGTATAGATAGTGTTGTATATGTAGAGAGTGTTATGTATGTAGATAGTGGTGTATATGTAGAGACTGTTATGTACGTATAAATAGTGTTGTATATGTAGAGAGTGTTATGTATGTAGATTGTGTGTAAGAATAGTTCAGAATTCGACATTCAGGAAGAAGACAATTGTACACACAAAGGTAGACACACCTGCGGGTACATATAGATAAAAAATTTGATACACTTATGTACATTTATTAAAATCAATATGGCATAGAGACATCACATTTGTAACAGAATTTACGTTATGAATTAATGATGTTTGTAGAAAACATACGAATGATTTAAAGGGACAGTTTACTGTACATGGACACATGTATGGACAAATGTACTGACAATAGGAAACAACAAAACGAATCATTTCTAACCTCACTTTACCGTGACAACCAACATGTTAATAAGTAAATGAAGTCACCATGACATGTTTTATACCTCAACATGAGGCATACGTCTTTACCACGTTACACTGTGACGGGAACCTTAACTGATGTCTAAACGAAATATAGTCGTGTATACAAAGTCGATGAAGACCGCGTCAGAAGTCCCAACTACTGCGACCAACACCACAGTGATGCTGCGTAGATCTGATGTTACTGACAGTCCACGCCGACATCTTCTCCGTGGTTACAGTTATGACTTGTCCAGCCGTTGTGACAACACTGGGACAGATATACCTCGTCCCCAGTACACCGTACATTATCCAGTAGTATAGTGCCCGTCCCTTGACCATAGGTAGCTGCACTCTGGAACGCCGCATTGTCTCTGGAAATATGTTAAGATGTTGTTAATATGGTTTGGTCATCAATATGACGGCGAAGAAACCAGAAATGGGCTCCACACATTGCCCTCATGTAGGACTGACTGACTGAGTTTATTTGTACGCCGCTTTTAGCAATATTCCAGCAATATCACGGCGGGGGACACCAGAAATGGGCTTAACACATTGTGTCCATGTGGGGAATCGAACCCGGGTCTTCGGCGTGACGAGCCAACGCTTTAACCACTAGGCTACTCAAAGACGATTAAATGTCAAGGACTGAAAATAGAGTGTCTGGTGTTGTTATGATGTGTCTGGCGGACGATCTGGAAAACCTTTGTTGAGAGTATAGAGTTTACATCATATTTATTGATGGTTTTTATCGTTTACACATGGAGCTTCTATTATGCATTTTTTAAGAATATGATTTGGAGTTGCAGACAACGCATACATTCATTAGAAAGGGTTGTTACAATGTCACCAGCGCTGGCAAACAGATACCAAATAGATTTAAACGATCAGTTCCCATCTTAACAACTTTACAGAGGGAAATATGATGCAAGTAATCAATTTCATAAATAACCGATAACGATCTTTTTTACATCCGTAAGCGCTTTCAGCATGCATATATCTTGCCACGAATTGAGAAAAGCAAACCTACCACACGCAAAGGGGTGAAAATCTCCCTCTAGTCGCCTAAACATATTAAACATCCTTCTGAGAGTGATTGAAGGACAACACTGTTCCGTGGAAACGCCCATGTAAAAGTCTGGGAAGAATTATATTCCGATTAAGCTTGATTATCACAAAGAGCAAATTGATTTATTTATTCAACTTCCGTGTCCAGATACAGACAGGAGACACTGGCATTTCACCGACAAGAGACAGTAACGACTATATAGTAATTCAGCATATTCCCCTGCGTTAAACTTAGCAAGGGAGATCCTTGCATGGAGCGAGTAAAGTTGTCTGATGTCACAGAGTGAAAGATAATTGTTGTTACCGTAAACAGGTCATAAATGTTCATGAGTATTGAACCTATTTCTCATCCAAAGAATATTCTATGTCACATCAATATATATATTGTGCATTGTGCATAGGAACAATTTCTCACAACTCTTGTCTACTCCTTTGCCAAACTGAAACATTCAGGAACAAGTGATTTTATTCAGTAATGGAAGTGTCGGTTGTGTACAGTTTGTAAATTTCGATTAACAAAGACACGGTTTCCATACTAAAATAACACTAGTAGTGAATTGTCTGTTTATGTATCACTCTAAAGTACCCTCTGGTCCGATCTGCAAAACGTTAACGACTCGAAAGTAGGTCACGGTACTTTGCGAGACTTTAGTACTTCCGGTGACAAACAACGTTTTACGGTAATGGCGATAGCACTGTTACAAAGGGGCATATCCTGGCTTATCATACTGGGCACGCTGTCTGACTCAGAAAACCATGACATGCAACAGGCTACAAAACCACTAGGACTATGTTGCATGAATAGCACGTGCATATCTGTCAACAGCTGTGCAGCTAAGCGTATATATTTTGCGGTCGCGCAATTTGGAACCAGAACTTGTTCTTGAACACATGCATGTCACCGGGAATCGATTACTGGAAGTAGCGCCTTACGGGCCCAGTAGTTCATTACATAAGTTTCTAAATATGACTATTTAGTCACAATTGTTCATTCTGAGAAGAATATGCCAAAGTGGACATACTGCCTGTGTATGTGATGCAGCAATACATATGGGTATTAGATACAGGTCAATATTAATGAACCTTTTATGACAGATTATCATGCTGGGTGGTCTATTACTCCTACTATGGCAACGGACAACTCCTTTGAAATAGATACGTGTACCAGATACAGGTTAACATTAATACATACGTTATGACAGATTATCATGTGGGTGGCCCGCAACACTTACGAAGGCAATCCCAGTTGCCTACAGACGACTCCGGCGTTTGTAGCAGTAAAACCGTCGTCACAGACTGTTCCCCATGCTGACTGGTAGTAAATCTCAAGACGACCAGATGCTGGACCCGGAACAAGTCGAACGTTGTAGGCATTTGGCGCTGAAGCCATTTCTGCAAATAAATATTTATAATGCACGTTGTAATCCACGGCCGATATACACAAACGTGTTTAAAAGGCTGCCCGGGAAAGCACGCTTTTTCCCCCACTACACGCTAAATAAATTAAACAAATTGCAAAATAATTAATAATTCCCGAATAATTGAAAAATATAATCTGATTTTATAATCATGAATATGTGGCGTCAAATGAACAAGGTTGGGGCTGGAATCATCAAAGTGAGTGAGTGAGTGAGTTTAGTTTACGCCACACTCAGCAATATTCCAGCTATATGGCGGCGGTCTGTAAATAATCGAGTCTGTACCAGACAATCCAGTGATCAACAGCATGAGCATCGATCTGCGCAATTGGGAACAGATGACGTGTCAACCAAGTCAGTGAGCCTGACCACCTGATCCCGTTAGTCGCCTCTTACGACAAGCATGGGATACTGAAGATCAATATTCTAACCCGGACCTTCACAGGTCAGAATCATCAAAGAGCGGCATCGACTTTATTCCTTAACTCTAACCCCAACTTAACAACAGCGAGTGTAGCACTACGTGAGAAACACAGGTGCCACACCATGGAAAATTCATGCACAAGTGAACCTTCCTGTATAGGCCTAGAAAGTAGGGTCATACTTTGCAAGCAGCTTAGACGTTATCCCATGACTACAGCACCAGAGAACGACGTCATCGGGCGGTATCGAATGTGTCCTAGAGCACCGTCCATGATTTCAGTATCGATAGCAACAGCAACAACCACGACCTTGCAATATAATGCTCACCCAGGACTAGTAGCTATCCGTACGACAACAAATCGAGAGAGTGAGTGAGTAAAAAGTACTTAACGACACTCGGCAGTATGTTTCAGCTGTTCATGGCGAGATATGTATTTTGTGCTACAGTATATTAAGTATAATAAGAATGATGTTGAAAACCACTGAAGTTAATGTTGAAAGCTGATTGTTGAGATACAGTTCTAAATTTTATCATACAGTTTGTTTTCTTTTAAATATGCTAAAATTAAGTGGTTGGAAACTGTTGTCAGAAGTTCAGGCATGAACGTTACCAGACAAAACGTTGTCTTATCAGAGCAAAATCAACACATTCATGCAGAATGTTGAAACCACTGAAATTAATGTTGAAAGCTGATTGTTGAGATAAAGTTCTAAATTGTATCATGCAGTTTGATTTCTTTTAAATATGGTAAAATTAAGTGGTAGGAAACTGTTGTCAGAAGTTCAGGCATGAACGTTACCAGACAAAACGTTGTCTTATCAGAGCAAAATCAACACATTCATGCAGAATGTGTTTGATTGTTATTGGACTATTGCAAGGAATGCAAAAAAAGTGCAGCTTCACCTTTTTTAAAACATGAATGGATATATATCAATGTCCAATGCTACACCGCTGCAACGTGGGGAGAAGAGGAGTAACCTCCACTCAATAGCTTGGTGACATGGAACATATTTCAAACTTACATTATGTCTATCAGCAGCACAGCTATCGAAAGGCAATGGACTGGTGGGACTGAGACATGGCCAGATGTGGAGCTGACCAGAGGTCGACTGTGGATGGAACAATATGTTTTCAGTGAGCTCTGTAACAGAATTTGTGGGACATGTTCCCACTGTAATAATGGGACTGTTGGACATGGTTTTGTGCTTGTTTAGTTTATTATAAGTCGAGTATCGGGATCATATTCATATTGAGAAAATCTTTGTTTCCTAATACTGATAATAGAATTTTAAAATAGGTGTTATATTATGTAGTAAGTTACTCAATATGGGAGACAACTCATGTAGGCTTAGGAATGAACCATACTACATCAAGAGTTATCTCCCCTGGTGTAGCAGACGGCTTCCTTTGTTGACATGGCAGATTTGACAGCAGAAGAGAAAAGAAAGCTAGTTCTAGATGATTTTGAAAGGGGTGTGACTAATGCAAAAGACATAACTGGTAGACGTGACATTCCTCCGTCTACAGTATACAGAACTTTGAGGAATATTCAGTCAGGAGTTGTGATTCAGCACAGGACAGGGGCAGGGATGCCAAGGAAGGTCAGTACTATGGATTGCCGGTGACTTGGTCAGATTGTGAATAGGGGAAAATTGAAAAGCGTTGAGAATATCAGAAATAAGATGATTAATAGAGGAAGCCCTCAGGTATGTAATGAAACCCTTAGACACGAATAAGTTAACTGTGTGAAAAAGCGCGGAATCCCCTCACCATTGACGAAAAATGGACGAAAGAGGTTCAAAGTAATTGGGATAATGTTTTCTTTTCTGGTGAAAGTTCTGTCTGGCTTTTTTCTAACTGTGTGAAAATGTGGACAAAAGATACATATCTACGAATGCCCCAAGCAGCCCGAAATTTCCCATGTGGGGTGTGATATCACGTGGAGTGACGCCGTTGTGTAGTTTCACTGGAAATTTGACGAAGGAACGATATGTTGACATCTGAAATGATCGCCTCCTTCCAACGGCCCGAACACTGTATGAATAAAATTGGATTTTCCAGCATGATAACGACCCAAAGAACACTGCACACAAAACAGTGGTTGTCAGACGAAAATGTTCAGGTTTTAGACTGGTCCAGCTACAGCTCAGATCTTAACCTTATTTAGAATATGTATGGACTTATGAAGGACAGAATAAACCAAAATGAACTTAGAAATATTGAGGATATGAAGAAACAAGTGGTCGAATATTGTGATACGCTGTCACACGGTTTCCAACAAACTTTGATCTGTAGTGTACCTAGCCGCCTTCAGTCGTGTATTGCATAGCAAGGAGATCTCAGAAAGTACTGAAAAGGCACTTAGACTGTAAGAGAATCATATCACAACATATTCATTTAAAGGTCACATGCAACGTAAAACTTTGCAGATTCTGATACCTTTCGGTATGGACTTACCGAAACAAATCGTCAAAAATGCAAATTCAACTTATAAAGTTGAAAAATAACGCGATGAAAAAAACGCGCGAAATCGGAGTTCAAACGTTTCACTAATTTTCCCCAGACTTTTCTGGGGAAAACGGGTTTCAACAGCTGGGCTGCGCTCATAGCACGTGCGCAGTGAAATTGGTTCGCGCAACTGGGAAGCGGGTTGTCCGGTGAATACTCGGTGAAGGCTTTGGTGTGAGCTATTTTTCTAATGTTTTGTTGATATCTCACAGGCGCGAGCTTTTTATATGTTATGACAGTAAATAAACTGTTGATATAATTTCACCACACGTTCTTCTTACCGAGTCACCTTCTCAGTTTGATACTTAAAAGCAATGTCATTATTTAGCGTTGACAGAATTTCTAACTGTGATATAGATATGTCGTTGTCACAGACAAAACTCAATGTCTTGTTTTATTGACAGCTGTGTGTCTGCCTGCCTGTCTGCTAATGACAATATTCAATACACAGCTGCTATCACTGACCACATGCAATTTGAACTTAACATCAATCAGGCTATACACCATAAACATAATGCATTGATTTATGGCCCGAGTTCGGTCTCTGTCACATTATGTAATTACACAGACAGGCAGGTGTGATACTTGAACACATGACATGTTATGATGTCTGTTGATTGCAAAATGTTATACACAAAAAATGAGCATGTATTTACAAAACCCAACATCTCTACATATACACACACAATAAGCCGTGAGGGCATCTGCAAATGAACCAGCCGTTACACTTGAGTGCACACCCACCCGCTCTGACTGGGTTCGGTATCCCGGCTGCTTCGTTTCTTGGGAAGTAAACCGAAGTACACAATATTGCACTTTTGATTTGCGATTGTACGCTTATAATTTTGTTTATATGTTTTTTTCATAACCAGCAATGTATATTATATGTCACGAATAAGTGATAATTGTGTTTTAATTATGTTTGATTTTTTTGGTTGCATGTGACCTTTAAGCATATCTTCTATAGTTTATATACATGTATTAGATATTTGCCGAAACATCTTTCTCAATAATTTCTGGGAATGCTATACAGCATCGTGTATTCTTTGTTGGAACCTGAGCACAATGCGCCCATTCTCAACTTCTCAAACGGCTACAGTCAGACTTCTACATTGATGGAACAGCTCTATGCTGGTTCAAGTCTTATCTGTCCTCCTGACACCAGCAAGTACTGATAGAGGATCATTACTCTAATCCAGCTCATCTATTTTGTGGTGTCCCACAAGGATCGGTCTGAGGTCCGGTCTTGTTCAGTCTTTACATCAAAGATCTTGTTGATCGCCATCAATTTGCTGATGATTCCCAAATGCACAAAGTCTTCTTACCCACCACCATGGATCAAGCAACACCCGCCTTGAACGACCTTCAACAGTGTGTGAGGAAACCAAGAGCTGGATGTTTGACAACATGTTGAAATTGAACAGTTCAAAGACAGAGTGCATTCAACTGGGTCCTGCAAAACGTTGCTCTAGGTGCTCATTGAATGCTCTTGATTGTGATGGAGAAAGTATTCCATTCTCACAGAAAGTAAGAGATCTTGGTGTCATCCTTGACTCCGACCTGTCTTTGGATGATCACATATCAGATCTCTCTAGGATCTGTTTTGCAGCTCTACGTAATATCAGTCCCATTAGGCAATACCTCACTAAAGATTCAGCAAAAACTCTCACCTTATGCCACGTAATGACCCGCCTGGACTACTGTAACTCCCTCCTAGCCGGTGCAAGCAAATCACAAATGCTGCTGCACCTGTCGTGACTAGATCGAAGAAGTTCGACCATATCTCTCCAATGCATTCTTCAATCTCTTCATTGGCTTCCAGTCGAGAACCGGATCCGCTTCAAACTCCTCTGTCTCACCTACCGCTGCCTGTCTGGATGCGCTCCTGCTTATCTCTCCAATCTTCTTATGCCATATAAACCAGCTAGGTCCCTTCGTTCTCAGGACAAAAACCTTTTGCTTGTTCCTAGAGTAAACAGTGTTCGCTACGGCAGCAGATCATTCACCTACGCAGCTTCAACAGCCTGGAATGATCTTCCCCT